TATGTTATAATTTTATTATGCCCTTATTTATCCAAATTTTCAGGTAATGAAAACAAATTCCATTAAAATATTACTTGTTGTCGTAGTCGTTTTTTCAAATTTATGGCTTTCTATTAAAAAATCACATAACACTGTTTGCAAGTGGACTGCCCAAATAATTTTCACTTAAATAAAGAAGTAGGCTCGAGCCCCCTTAACTTCCAAATGTATTATATATATTCAAAAATTGTACCAGGAAGTGGTAGGTCGATAATCCCGCCTCCCCCATAACTTTCAAGTTTTTTCCTATGTACGTTGATTTCAACTAAATTAATATTATTTCGCGCAACTGATAAGTAAAAAAGATATAAGAGGTTAAACTTTTTTTCGATATTTTAAAATATTAATAATTTTCTAAACTACGTAACGGATTGAAAAAGTAATGATGTCAAAATAAAAACAATTAATCTATCTTCAACTTTATATATAAAACGTGTATGCTTGTTTATATATTTAAGCAAAAAATATTAAAAAACAAATAAAATGCTATAATTTTTTCATAAAATAACCTTTTTTAGTAAAAAGTGCATAATCAATGCTAAAGAGATTATTTATTTTTCCTTTCTGTGTTACCGATGAAGTGGGGCTGAACATCTTTTGCAGAGAACACCTTTCGGCGTAGGCGTCCTTCGGCCGCACTTGGGGATTATAACCCTCACTAAGTAGAGTTATTCTATCTGTTTTGCCGAAGAAGTTGGGCTGAACACCTTTTGCAGAGGACACCTTTCTGCGTAAGCGGTAGTTAAATAGCTTTAAGTTGATCAAAGGTACAGTATTTTTTTATGGAAGTAAAATTGAATGTTTAGCGCAAATAATGCTTTTTGAATTCTTTTCTTAGGTACATGAGAAGTTGATAAAAAAATTCAATTGATTAAAAAAATAAATTTTTTTTATAAAACAAGAATCGAAATTTTACAAACTGGCCACTTTATTTTGTTGGCCAATAAGTTCTCTAACTGCTGTCAAAAAATCATAAGATTCAAATGAATGGTTGCTGAAATATGTATGTATGCATAAAAATTTGTTTACAAATAACTCATCAAAAAATAAAATTAGCGCAAAATCTTTGGTGTCAATATTGCACACCATGTTAACTTTCAAAATCAGTCAATGAAATATAAAAAATCGAGAAATCAACTTTGGGTGGCCCTCTTGAGAAAACTTGACTCAAAAAAACAAAATTAAGTAAAATAGAAATTTAATTTGTAACCTAACCTACATGTGTATGTGCATATGTAACTGAATCGCCTGATAATAGGTTTGCTTATAAGTAGATTATCCTCATTTTCGAGCTTAACTCCCTAATTTGTAATTAGAACAAGTAATTTTTAAGCAAGAAACAAAACCGACTTCAATTCTCATATAACAATTTAAGATTTTCGTTAATCTTTTCAGGATCCAATGATCGGATTTAAACATAATTAGAATGGGACCACCTGTGAGGTACCACCTTTCCTTTAAAATCGGTTGACGTGGTCCAAAGTTATGCGCATGTGCGTAGCCAGAATGAAATTTACGGGGGAGGGGCCTCGTATAAAATTTTTTTTTCAAGGCCAATAGTTTTTACTAAAAAATTGTATATTACAGCTTAAAATTATTGTAACCAATAGAGGTAAATATAAGTTCACAAAAGTTGATATAAAACTATTCGTCGATTTATGAACTTATTACAGATTGGGCAGAGCACACTGGAATTCCAGTCGTCGGGCATGCACCTTATCAGCTCCTCAACATCGTATTGTACCGTCAGCTCCAGCAAGTTTGTTATTTTTCATGAGCATAATCGCTATTCGAACCTCCTCATAGTCAGGCGCTGGGACATAGACTGGGAGCTCGGGTTCTACTTTCAGTGCTGCTGCCATCCACAGGGTCGAAAAGTGTTCCGGCGAAGCGATCAGCCACAGCCTGTCATCGGACGTTTCGTCGTGGAGGCTGAATTTTGCGACAGTGGCGCCAAAGATCCCTTCCTTGCCCACCTTTGATTTTGACATCGTGTCGGGGGCAGTGCTCATATGTACGCTACAAGCGCTCATAGAAGAGATCCTTGGATGCCTCGTCTTTCTCTCGCATCGGGACATGGGCGCAGATGAGCGAGATGTTTAAGCGGATTGTGGCTAGACGTTCGTCCACTAGAGCGGACACCAGTACTCGGCGACGGAGTCTCTCTCCCAGCAAAAATCCAAGACCGAATTTGCAATCCTTTACGTGGCAACTGTAGTAGACGTCGCAAGGCTCCCCGCTCAGCTTGCCTTGCCCCGTCCATCGAATTTCATGGACGGCGGTGATGTTAGCCTTTATTTTCCCGAGAACATCACCCAGACGGGCAGAGGAACCTTCCCGACTAAAGGTCCGTATATTCCAGTAGCGTACCTTCAAATCATAGTCATTTCAACGATCATCAAAAAAGGGGGTAGCATTCGAGGCTTTTTTTCATGGAGTAGGGCTTTAACGTGGCCTGATCCAAACTCAGCTACGCGCAGTTTTACGCCTTCTCACTTTAGCTCGATTTCAAACTGGTGTTTAGTCGTTACCTAGAGGATACGTGGATATAAATATCCAATTCAAACACGCGAATCACTTCTGACCACTCCCAGGTGAATGGCAGTCAGAAGCTTGGGAGTACTGGAAAATGTACAGAACCTAGTGGTCAAATGCGAATATCTCAACTAAACCATGACGTATTTTTTAAATTCATAGCTCTATATATATATACAGGTATATAGTAAACCAGATAGCCGGACAAGACTAACTAAAAAATATTAAATTTTCCGTATACCCTGTAATATTCCCCGGAAATTTTGCAAGATAAACTAACAATTTATATTTATCGTTGCAATCACCGAGATATCTTCTCTTAAATGACATACTTATGTACGCATAACTGTATGTACATATGAAAAACCTTGAAAGTTGGGGGGCCCGAAATTATTAAGCTGGCATTTCCGGGTACTATTTTTGGAGTTATTGGAAAAAATTTGGAAGTTATGGGACTCGAGCCCCCGCCCCTACCTGGCTACGCCCATGGTTATACGGTAACATACATAAAAAAAATAAAAAAAACTATTCCGACAAATTGATAACCTTCCTCCTTTTTGTGAAGTCGGTTAAAAAGGGATTAGCCTTACAAAATAATAATTGTAAAATAATCTCAGATTAAACTGATAACTTTTCGGTGTCCAACCTAGTTTTAATGTAGTATGTCGAATGTAAAAGTAAAAAAAATAAACGCTAGCAATTCAGAGTTTTGTAAAAGTATTTTAAATAAAATTTAGGTTAAAATATTTTTAAATTGTTTAATATGTATAGTAGAAAAAAGTGGCCACGGTGGCACAAAGAAGAAAATTAACTTTTCCTTGAGTTGTGAGAATAACAAGCACAACAAATTTAACGGCTAATAATCTGAGATTTGCCTGTGTAAACAGGGTGATTAACAAACGAGCTTTAACTGAGATTACACATATTTATATGAAAACGTACTTCTATGCCTTGCTGTACGCATATGTTTACACATCAAATTTCATGAGTAACTAAATAGTACTCACGCCTTTTTTTAATGAACGGTCTAATGTACATGTACCCCTCGCGACAAAAGGGTACGATCACTCAATATAAGCTACTTTTTTTTACTAAAATGAATTTATTTTACTAAAATTGCATGGGCTGTACAACTGCATACTTATGGCCGTATTCATTGAAAATAAAGTAGATTTAAAGAGCTTTATAAGTTGACGTTTTTATACACTTTTCAGTTTATAAACCTGTTTTAAAGTTAATTTATTTTTTATGAATAAGGCCATTCGACTTTTCTGAATTCTGAATACAATACAAAATTACGAGATATAATGATGGATCGGGAGGAGCACCGACGCCCTTACTATCGGAATATCTCCGTTATTCTTCCACCTATACTTCTGACAATTTCATTTTGAATTACAGAATAAGTCACGATCCAGAAAATAAAGGTCGCGCCATTCGCGGACCGCTAACCCTCTCTTCGTCGATTTGACAGCATCCACTCAAACGCTGACGTCATAATATACTTTTGTTTACATTCACTGTTGCCAACTTGATGCTTTTCGCACCAAATTTAGTGGGTATTCAAAACGCGAAAATTTTTGAGTTTTGTGCTTGGTGCGTTTTTGGTGCTTTTGTTTTTAGTTTGAAGACTTCAAATTAGAAAATCTTAAAAAAATGGAAGCAAAATTTATAGCAATCGTAAGTGCGCTAAGCAATTTTACAAAAATTTAAACAAAATCATGGCACAGTGACAATCATAAGCGACAACGAAATATGTGTAGCACCTTCAATCATGCCAGAAGAAATCGACCGTTGTGCAAGAAACATTGATTTTTATTAATTTGAATCGGCATTCTTACAATAAAATTATGTATTCATATAAAGTCCATAAAATACACCAATAAAAACTTGGTGCTTTTTCAAATTCAAAAATTGGCAATACTGCCTTTTGTTCGATGCATCTTCTTTTTCTTGTCGAGTTCGTCTTGCTCTCTCATTCTGGTATATTTTGACGTCACGGCCAGTTGCTCTCAGCTCGATTGGCGCAATCTTGTATTCTATCATTCTTGACCATCACTTTTACTTCCAGTGAGAGTTCTGTCGGCCTGCATCTCGCTATATCGGTAACAACCGAACCTGTAACTGTTCAAATTTCTAGTTTACCGGGTGACCCCTTTCCCCTCTTAGACTAGAAAGCTGATTTGAAAGTATGTAGATGAACTTTGCGCGAGATCAGCGCCGTCCAAATAAACCTTTCTGTCGCACTTGCCAAAAGCAATGAATCGCGGATAACATAAAATTATCAGTTAATATGTACCATATGGTGCATCATGGATTGAGCTATATAGCGCGAAAATTTAGTTTGAATTTCAGCTAATTTTTAATGAATGAGGCCCATTGTGATGAAAAAATACTTCAAAATTATCTATTATCACTTTTATTTGCTCTTTTTCGTATTGGCCACGCCTATATTTATCACTTTCTTGTTGCATACATTGTCATTAACTGTAAATCTTACTATCACATTTTCCAAAATTTCAAGTTTTCGCACATGCTAAGATGTACATCCAACACAAATATGTAACCATATGTAAATTTCTCGTAGCCCTCACTGCAATCTCTGAAAATAAAATAAAATTGAAATGTTAGAATCATGATAAAAATATAGTAAGGTAGAACCGCTGAGAGTCACTTTTAAAATTCTTGACGTTTCCAAACAATTTAATTTTTAAATTTACTCACAAACTCACACACACATTTTCATTTTCAATCTCAAGCAACAACAATTTCGAACAATTTCATTTCTTTATTATCACATTTATATGATTTTAAAATGTTGGCAAACTTCAAAAAAAAATCATGGCCGACAAATTGAGAGAACGGTTATACCTTGCTATGTTTTTATCATGGTTAGAATATCGAAATTTATGTGTACGCATACTACACATATGAACATACTTAGTACTAAATTACAAAAGTAGTCGAATTGTGTGTATGTCACGTGGAATCGAATTAAATGACCATTTTAAATTGTCATCTAATACCTGGCGAAAACTCGGCATTAGTCTCAAAGTTTTATAAAACAGCGTATACAAAAAGGGCTATGTTATGAACAAATAAAAGCAAAATAAAATATCTTCACAAAAACATATGGTGACAGAACTTGCCTTAATTTCATGCATTTTTAATCAAGAGCATTCATGTTAGCGTCTGCAAGTAGCCAGATGATCGTTCTAACAACGTATGATCATGAATGTGGTCCAACTGAGTTAATTTATACACAATTCTTTATCCCATGTTAATGTTTCAATTAAAATTTCTTTTCTCCTTGGAAAATCAAGCAAGAGGTTTTTCTGAACTTTAATCTCTCCAGTTCCTTGACGCCTTTGCCTAGCGGCGCACTTCTAAATGGGATCCGTCCACAACTGAATGTGTAATTCATACAAATAATTGATTAAAATGCCGCTGACCAATTTAAAATTGGTAATGCACATTTTGGGCAGTCTGCTTACAATATGAATTACAATTTAGAAACGAGACACAATTGTAATGAACGCCGGAAGAGTATTCAATCACATCATACTTTCCGATTACAAACAAAACCAGTATGTAAAGAACGCTAACCACAAAGCGGCCATGCTTATAGCAAAGTAATCTGGGTTGTAATCGATTCATTCCGATATTTTGAAGTTTTGAAGGAGTGTTCGATTACGTAATGTGCATTTGCGGTACGGGGCGTTTTCGTAGATGCCGAGAGTGGATATCTTCACAGGAGCTTCATCATTCATAACCATCGTAACCGTTGTATTTTTATACTTATCACTTTGGCCATGTCTTCATTGAGCTAGTGCAGTTTGTCAATTTATCAGCGGCATGCAACAAGCAGCTGCCTCGAAAGTCTACAAAGTATTCCCTTCTTTATTCGTCACCGTTCGTCGTGACATTTTTTCGTCATGACAGTACTCTACTTTCTAATTTCCTACAGGACCAGAAACCTCTTTTGTCTACTTCTGTAAGCTGGACCGATCTGCTATTAAAGGCCGTTTGCACATTTAACACTAAGGGCCATTTTCACCATCTCATCACCATGTTTAACTGGGGATTAGTGTTAACCAGTGATAGTGAAAACGGCCCTTATTGGAGGTAAATCCTCCAGTTAAACACATCGACTGCTTTATACCATGCTCTGACCGACATCGAAATCATGTTTTCGTTGTCAAAACTGGTTTTCGACCTAAAACTTGTGTTTTCGTCAATGTAAAATCTGTCAAACGAAAACAAGTTTTCGCTGAAAACCACTTGAAAACTCACGTTCCACTCATTGCCATCGGTGTCTGCACTAGTTTTTTTCGATAATTTATCGAAGTGGAAGTCATATTTTATCATCTTTAATACACCATTTCGGATTTATTGTTAATTGGCTGACCAAAATAAAATAAGCATGGAAGTAATGGGTTGTTACTGAAAAGAAATTGAAGGAAAAGTATTTTGGTTTTGTATTTGTGCAGCAAAACTGTAAACAAGGGATGTAAGAAATGTCAACGAAAACACCAACAGTCGCTGTGAACAGCCTTCAGCCCACAATCCCAAAACTCGTTTTCAAGGTGTTTTCGTTGTCGGTCAGAACATGGTACTATCGATCACATGTTATGTTATATGCTGGGTGTCGATAACGTCGATGATGTTTAACTCAGTTATGCATACTTGGCGTTGCATGAGAGTTGTCACATAAGAAATCTGTTAAATGAGCTTTGCGTGTAAGCGGTTACCCAACGCATAGCATTACACAACAGCAGTCTGTTGGGTTTTGATTTTTACGTAAACATGGCATGCAGCGCAAAGTATGCATAACTGAGCTATTAGAATTAGCCAGACATGGTGCAAGCGATCCCATGACCAATACAAAGATTACAATATCATCTGCATAGGACCGAATATTAATTGTAATTATACCGTCTCGGTCATATCAATAGCACCCCATTTCAAAGAGATATTGTGTGCCACTTATGGTCGTTTATTTTTTTTAAACAGTTTCCATTAAAATACAGTTCGTTCTCTAACAAAGTCCATATCAACCAAAGTTTAAAACTTTGTAGAAAACTAAAAAAAAATTAAGAAATGTTCATCCAAATTTCAAACTTTTTTCTCCGAAGTGTTAGAATTTTTGGAGTTTTATAGCCCATTCAATTTTAGTCTAATAATGTGCAAGTTTCAATAATTATTATGGCTAATAATTATCACCGTCGATTTTTTTAGAATTTTGTTGTAGCATTTGGGGCTTTGTTAGGAACTGAACTGTATTTTAGTTAAAAATTCTTAAAAATGAATAAATAAACATGAAAGCTATTGATATGACTGATACTGTATATACTATGTACAGATGTGACACAATGCAACAGCAGAACCTTGTATTATTGAATCATGAGAAGAGGCGGCCGCTGGAGAGTTCTACGTAAGTTACATGGGACGCATTGTGACGGAAAATAATGGAACAAGGAGATGTATGAGCTTTACAGCCCCTGCAGGGAAAGCTACTAGTTGTGAACTAGAATTCTACCAGTTTGCGTTTCAGCCCAACTAGTTCACGTTCTATCCTTTTTCAATGTTAGCGACTGGTATTTTTAACATTAATATGTACGAGATGTCAATTGTCAGGCTATGCATCAGCATCTACTAGTAGAAATACTAGTAGCATCATACCAGTTGATGAGATAGTCTGCCAATTCATCCACCATGAAAAGTACTAGTATGCTCGCGGCGGTCCAACAGTCGCAATGGCCGACAGAGCAATGCACTCGCGTGATATGCCTGAAGGACCAGGTTCAATCCTTGGTGCCGGGAACATTTTTTTATTTTTATTTTTTTTTTAATATTTCTTTTATTTATATTTTTTATTTAGGTTTTTTTTGTTATTCTTATATGTAACTAAAAAAACTATTTTTTTTATCTATTTTTTTATGGCTCAAGTATTTTTTTCCATATATTTGTTTCTTTTTTTGTAATGCAACTAGATTTTTAAGTTTGTTATTTATATTTAAATTGAAATAATTATCTAACTTTAAAAATCTTAACCACCTCCAAGGGGCCTCGAACCTGCGATCCCAGAACCAGAACCAGAACCAGTAGTCTTCACGTGACGCCAGAGCCGACATTTGTAAGAAAAGCAATTAATTGCGTTTTATTTTAGGCTTTGGCAATTCAAAGGAAGATGTCGCTGAACGCTTAATTTCTCCGAAAATGTCGAACTGGTAGGCACATACTAAACTGATAGGCACATACTAGTTTATGAACTAGTATTTTTTCTAACTGGTTTGGTTTTTCACTGCAGGGACGCCATTGACATACACACATATGTATTTATGTATGCATGTAGTTCAGCGAATAAAAATATAGCGGCTGCGCTGGCTGGGGTAATAGCTCAATCATCAAGCTGATACCTGATACCAGATAAAACTTTTTGGCTTTGCGTGACATTTATAACTTTGCCATCAAAGCGCCAGACGCAAAATGTATGCCACAATGAACGCCAAGAAAACATATTTGTACTGTTTTTTTTATCGTTAAAATTACTGTGGATTTTATTTATGTATTTAGCTTTAAAAAAATATTAGAAATGTAATTAAATTTTATGTTTTTGCATGGAAACTAGAATTTGGACGAAACAAAATAAATATTAAACCGGCTGATTGTCAACGCGCGCAAAAAGATGGGAGTTGGCCATCTATTCGCTTCGCGCTGCAGCTGCAACGATCTATGTGGCATACCATTACCTTGTTTATATGGCATCAAACGCGGTATCGAATTGACTCGCATCAGTGTAGCTCGCTTGAAATACAAGTGTTTATATGAAACAAAAGAAATGAGTCGATCGAACACGCTTTTAGACAGAGTTCATCCCAATGCAACCCAGTTAATACATGTGTCATTTATCAAAAATAATAAACATGGAAAAATAATAATTAAAGACTCAAACAACCTTATAAAAAGGATATTAGTTATTAAAATTTATAACAAAACTTAGCCTAAATGTAATTTCAAGAACTATTTAAATGTCTTACTTCGTACAGAGTTGCATGAAACAACCGTGTGGCCAAATCCCGTTTTTATATGCACTCTTAACACGATTCAACAACTCTTAACTCGCATTCAAAATGTGATTTATGGTGGCACGGTTAAAAGTTTCATTTCGATTCTAGAATGTGTTTACATGTACGTGTCCAAATAACATGGTTTGACTTAGAACAAATTGAAGCATCATATAAACAAGGTACATGATTCAATAATACAAGGTTAGATAACACTGGACCACAAATTTCAACTTTTTCTCTTTACCAGAAACGCCGTTATGAAATTCTTATGTAAAATCACCCCCTGATTCCGAAAATCAAGGTTATTTTTAATTCTATGGTACCGTTTTTGAGATATTTGCAATTTACCGTTTTTGCAAAAAAAAAAAAATTGGGTCCACTTTATCATATATATCTCAAGAACGAATTAAGCAATTCCAAAACGGTTTGAAGCTTTTAAAAGGTAATTTTCTATAAACTGTGCATACAACACTTTTTGCTAGGCCCTGTAGATTCAAAGATAACGAACAATCATTACCGATTTTTTTAA